GAAATTGTAATTACTTTTGCACCAGCCTAATACTAGTAATAAAATTAATGAACAAAGTTTCACATATTTTTACAGCTCTGTTTGTCTTTAGAAAATATTCCAACATGGATATATAATCAAATCTTGTATTCTAATGTCACGGGATTGTTTTCTTTGTTACATTATTTTACTAATTTTGTATGCAACTACATTTGTTTATTTTCACTTATTTATAGAGAATGCTCTTTTAAATTTTAAAAAATATGTACATTATTTACATGATTCCCAAGCTGAAACTGTGTAGCAAGATATATCCAAAGAAGTCTTTGCATTCCTGTACCTTTCACGTTGTTCCTTCTCTCACCATATAGGTAGCCATTTCTATTTGTTTGTTTTCAGTTTTCTTTCCAATGTTTTCTTTATCAAATTTCCTGCGCCTTGCTTTTGTTTACCTTAATAATATATCTCAGTGGTTACTCCATGGGAGTGCACAGAAACCTCCTTATTCCTTTTATACATTGTATAGTATTTCCTTGTGTGTTGTGTCTGTGTCATAATTTATTCAGCCAATCTTCTATCAATGGGTGTTTTGATTTTCTCCAATCTTTTACCATCACAAATAACATCATGATGAATAATGTTGTGCATTTGTCACTCTATATTGTTGCTAGTGTATTTTTTTCTCTTTTGTAAAGTAGGGCTAACAAAATTACTTTGTAGGTTTGTTGAGAGCATAAAATGTGATGTAGTGTATGATATGTTTGGTGTAATGTCTGGCACATGGACATTGCAGCTGCAAATATAATTAAGTTTAAAGTGCTACAATTCCTGTTTTAGGGTATTGTGGGAACACACTGGAGAGAGGTTTAATCCCAACTGTGTGTGTGTGTGTGTGTGTGTGTGTGTGTGTGTGTGTGTGTGTGTGTTGGACACAATGAGTGTGAATAGAAGTAGGGAACGTGAGATAGAAAAAAATAACACCTCAGCTGAGGCTTGAAGGTGAACAGATTTTTGGGTCATGGGAGGATGTTCCGTGAAAAATAAACATATTGGAAGGTCAGATCATGAGAAAGAACAAGTATTTTTGAGAACTTCAAGTAAAACTTAGGTTACAAAGGAAAAGAGTGGTGGCCAATGATGTAAAGGTAAGCAAGTGGTAGACACTGAAGTGATTTTTCTGCTACTCAGATACTTAATTCTGAAGATGATGGAGAATTAGTAAAGGATTTTATGCCAAAAAAGGACATGGCAAAAATTTTTATTTTACAAAACTCATGCTAGCATTTTGTCTGGCATGCAGGAAATTCAGGCAAGAAATATGAGGAACTAAACTAAGGCAGTGACTGTGGACATGAAAAAAATTATCCCCAGCTCATTCTGGGGACTCTTTGATCTCTGACTTTATGACTCCAGCCTCTCCCAGTTCTCCATTAAAAAATTTTTTTTGCATGTTCTTCCAGCAGTTGTCCTCTAAGGAAGTTACTTCCTAAGACTTGATTTGAATTCTCTTCCTAGCTCTATACTCTTTTGGGGTGCTGTCATATACTCTCATGGTTTCAAATGTTACCTCTGTGCAATTGACTTGCATATATCTGCATCTCTGTCTTAACCTAACTCTTTCTGGAATTGCAGATTGGTATATCCAACTATTAGCTGAACATTTCCAGTTGGATTTCCTCAAACTCTTTGAACTTAGCATTTCTCAAACCAACATCCCGTCCTCTCCTCCAGCCCCTCCCCCAGACCCAAACCTTGTCTTTTTTGTTCCCTTCCTCATTACCTGCTTTACCACTTACTTGTCATTGAAACAAGAGCACTCCTTATATCTTATCCATACACTTCACAGATATCTTTGCCTCAGGTGCTGTCACATCTGTGGTCTGAGTCTAACTTTTCTATTTCCTCTGACACAGGCTTGGTTCTAGCCTTCATCACTCTTCAGTTGTACTATTAATTATTATAACTTCAATAGTTTCTCCTCCTTAATATTTTCCCCTCCCTCTACTTATCTTTTCTTCGAGAACAGTGCTTCCAAAATCTGCAGTGGATTCTGATTGTCTTCAGAACACAGGCCATGGTCCTTTGGTGAGACATTCAGAACTCTGTGGCTGCCCGTCAGCCTGTCTTCCAACTCTGAGCTGCCACCATACTCCATGAACATTAGGAGGCTTAAAAACATCCACAGTGTTTTCCTTCAAGCTTCTCCTTGCATGATTCCTTGGGTGGCAGTGCCATTCTTCCTATTACTTCCCCTCCAAGTCCTCTTTACCTTTCAAGTTTCAGCTCTTAAGTTCCCTCCCCAGTGAAGTCCTGTTTTAACCAGTCTCCTGCCAGCTCTTAGCATAAATCAATCCCTTTCTCCTCGGACCTGCACAGCATTTCTAAGAACCTTGGCTTTGCCAACTATGGCTATAATTGTCCTCCCTGGACTTGATTGTATATGTGGGTCTCCCTTACAAAACTATACATTCATAAAAACCTGTCATCATCCCTTAGATATGGTGGTGCTCAAAGTATCATCTGAAATTATTTATTATTATAATTTGTTACCTTTACGTCAAGACAGCAAAATCAGCATAATGAAATTGGTTAGGTTCTGACAATTGTGACCAAACATTTTAACACATTGTACTGAATACTTAGAAGGAATCAAGAAGCATGCCCAGTGCTTTATAGACTTCATTGTTTTATTGGTCATGACTACCCTATAAGATACTTTCTGCTACTATGTCCACTTTATCAAAGGGGAAAATGGGATTTATGAACACTAATTAAATTGCCAACATCATAAATCAGTAAAAGAAAAACTAGGATTCAAACTCTGCTATAAAAGACCTGTGCCTTAGACACATCAAATGCTTTCCTGCTCCAACACTGTTGAATACGAAGTGTGAGGTCAAAAGTCATTAAAATGTCTGTAGCCTGGTATGAGTTTGATGGGGTTCAGGAGATACTACACCAAAATATGGCACCTCAGCATTTGAGAAAACAGTGGAAGTGGAAATAACAGTCTCATCTTCCCTGTCCCTTCTCCCCTGAAGCAGGTCATAAGACCCTTATTCTATAGGTGTGCTCCCTATACCTGGAAGACACAGGGACACAAATAACTCACAAGAACACAGGTACACAGATTGTTTAATAAAGAGTGTTGGGAAAACTGGCTAGCCCTGTGCAGAAAGCTGAAACTGGACTCCTTCCTTTCACCTTATACAAAAATTAATTCCAGATGGATTAAATATTTAAACATAAGACCTAACACCATAAAAACCCTAGAAGAAAACCTAGGCAATACCATTCAAGACATAGGCATAGACATAGGCAAGGACTTCATGATTAAAACACCAAAGCAATGGCAACAAAAGCCAAAATAGACAATGAGATCTAATTAAACTTAAGAGCTTCTGCACAGCCAAAGAAACAATCACTAGGGTGAACTGGCAACCAACAGAATGGGAAAAACATTTACAAGCTACCGATCTGACAAAGGGCTAATATCCAGAATCTACAAAGAACTAAAACAAATATACAGGAAAAAAACAAACATCCCCATCAAAAAGTAGACAAAGGATATGAACAGACACTTTTCAAAAGAAAACATTTATGCAGCCAACAAACATGAAAAAATGCTCATCATCACTGGTCATTAGAGAAATGCAAATCAAAACCACATTGAGATACCATCTCATGCCAGTTTGAATGATGATCATTAAAAAATCTGGAGACAACAGATGCTGGAGAGGATGTGGAGAAATAGAAACACTTTTACACTGTTGGTGGGAGTGTAAATTAGTTTAACCATTGTGGAAGACAGTGTGGTGATTCCTCAAGGACCTAGAAATAGAAATTCCATTTGACCCAGCAATCTCATTACTGAATATATACCCAAAGGGTTATGAATTGTTCTATCATAAAGACACATACACATGTATGTTCATTGTGGCACTGTTTACAATAGCAAAGACTTGGAGCCAACCCAGATGCCCATCAATGATAGACTGGATAAAGAAAATGTGGCACATATACACCATGGAATACTATGCAGCCTTAAAAATGGATGAGTTCATGTCCTTCGCAGAGACATGGATGAATCCGGAAACCATCATTCTCAGCAAACTAACACAGGAACAGAAAACCAAACACCTCTTGTTCTCACTCATAAATGGATGTTGAAAAATGAGAACACATGGACACAGGGAAGGGAGCATCACACACTGGGGTCTGTTGGGTTGGGTGGGCTGGTAGAGGAGGGATAGCAGGGGGTGGGGAGATTGGGGAGGGATAACATTAGGAGAAATACCTAATGTAAATGTTGGGGGAATGAACTCAGCAAACCACCATGGCGTGTGTATACCTATGTAACAGTCCTGCAAGATCTGAACAGGTACCCAAGAACTTAAAGTGAAAAAAAAAAAAAAAAAGAACACAAGGACACAGAGATTAATGTGAATAAATAGGCCTTGCTAAGTTCCCCCTGGTATATTACCATTGGATCATACCCCCTTTGTTCAATCACACTTCTCCATGACTATCCATTTCTTCATCAAAGCTTGCATTAAGTGGCTGGGTGCTGTGGCTCGTGCCTGTAATCCCAGCACTTTGGGAGACTGAGGCAGGTGGATCACTTGGGGCCAAAAGTTTGAGACCAGCCTGGCCAACATGACAGAACCCCATCTTAACTAAAAATACAAAAATTAGCCAGGTGTGGTGGGGCATGCCTCCTAGCTACTTGAGAGGCTGAGGCAAGAAAATCGTGTGACCCTAGGAGGTAGAGGTTGCAGTGACCCAAGATCGCATCACCGCACTCCAGCCTGGCTGTATATTAATACTGTTAATATACTACTTAAAGAAGATGGAGTAGTAGCCCCAAGAGCAAGACTCTGTCTAAAAAAAAGGGGAGGGGGCATTATAAATACACAGGTTTTCCTATTTATTTGTGTATTCAATTCTTATGGTTCCCATGTCACATAAAACTTATATTAAATAAATTTGTATAATTTTTCTCTCATTAAGCTGTTATTTTTTTATAGGGGCCTTAACCATGAACTTGGTGATGAGCTAGAGTAGATACCTTTCGATCCCCTACAAGACCTGTAAGTTCAAAACAAAATTTTGTGCATTTGCTGGCTAAGGACAATAATTCCTATAGTGGGCATATTAAAGACAAGAGTAGGAATATCATAAAATGATTTTTTTAAAGTCAAACTTGGAATAAAAGCAAGACAATTTGTTTATAAAGAAATATTTTGAATTTCCGAGGGATTTCCTGTTACTTTTAAAATTTACATTTTCTGAAATACTGTTAATATACTACTTAAAGAAGATGGAGTAGTAGCCCCAAGAAAGAAACTCCACAGACTTTAAATGTTGGTGCATTGATTCCGTAAACATATCAGTAAATATCCGCTCTGTACTAGGTGCTGTGAGAAGATACAAAGTGGGATCAAATGTCTATGCATTGCTTATAATCTAACAGAGGGGATAAAAGAGTATACTCAGCAGGGTACGAGAGCTGGTGATAACCCATCACAGCTATAGAAGGGTTTCAGTTCCAGCTGTAATTTCCATGGGAATTCCATGGAGAGAGAGAAAATTCTCTATGCTACCGGGAGTAAATAGACTTTTGCTGAAGACAGCAACTGGGTGGGAAAGTTATGGAAACACAGTTTTGCCACGATCAGACTTACAACTCAAATAATTACTTTAAATCACTTGAAAAAAAATCCTTTTGTGATCTTTGTTCTCAGTCAGTCAAATAATCAATATGTCCAGTTTGGTTAGAATTGTATAAGAAAGTCATACATTTTTTAAAACACTTCTCCTATTGCAATAAATTACAAATGATGAGATCTGTCAATAAGAAGCCTCTAATTATGTTAGAAATAAAAGCCTTGACTTGATCTGGTTTGCAAGCACTTTCTGAGGTAGTACAGATACTGCCTAGTGTTTAATAAAAGGAACATACTGTCTCATTGAACTGAGAGTAATTTTGTGTTCCGCCTTCTACCCTGCCAAGAACTAGCTGTTCTTGAGACTTAGCACAAGTCCCTCAATCTCTTATTTTAAGCCGAGTAGCTAGATGATCTTCAAAATCTCCTCTGTCAGTCGAATGATTTCATTTAATATCATCTTATTTAAGCCCATGCGAACAGTGGAAAAGATAGCAAAGAGTTCTCTAATTAGTGCAAGTCTATATAAAAGCTAATCATTGTGTGACGAAAAGAAATAAAATGCTCCCATTCTTAAAGTCAGACCATACTTCCCTGTGGCTACTTTGGGCTTTGGGTGGTCATGTTAAGAAAAGGCTTGCTTATGCCTATAATCCCAGCACTTTGCGTGGCCAAGGAGAGAGGATTACTTGAGGCCAGGAATTTCAGGCCAGCCTAGGCTATACAGTGAGCATAGTGAGACCTTGTCTTTACAAAAATAATTTTAAAAAGTACCCATCATAATGTAGTCCCAGCTACTTGGGAGGCTGAGGTGGGAGGATCACTTGAGCTCAAGAGTTTGAGGCTGCAGTGAGCTATGATCATGCTAATGTATTCCAACTTGGGCAATAAAGAAAGACCCTGTCTCAAAAAATAAAAAAAAAAAGAAAAGAAAAGAAAAAAGAAAAGAAAGGAAAAGAACATTTATTTCAGAAATGAATAAATAGAACAGAATTCATTCATCTAACAAATATTTATTGAGCACTTACTATGTACCAGGCGCCATGTCAGGTGTTGAGGAACATGGTAGCACACAATTCTGCAGAGGGACTTTTTATGGCCTTGTTGCTTCTCTCAAAGGTGTTAAGGACAAAAGAACTGCCAAGTAACTCTATGTTCTTAAGGAAGGAAGAGACCACACAAGTAGCAGATGCCAAAGGTAAACCAATGTCAGCTACTAGTCACCTCCAGCCTATAAAACAGTGAAAATTCAAGAGAGAGCAAGAGCAAGAGCAAGAATGAGAGTGGGTACATGAAGAGAAGGGGAGAATGAGAATGCATAGGAAAAAGTTGTCGGAAGCTTTAAGAGAACCAATGGAGGCTTGACGTATGTGTCCTGGAAGTGGGGGAACTGCTGTCGCCTCCTGCCAACAGCCTAGAGGTTGGGGTGCCCCCGACTGGTATCAAAGAAAAATGGCGGTCCTGGGAGAAGATTTGCAACCAAGGTGCTGGATGAGAGAGAGAGAGATTACTTGAGGGCCCAGTGGTGGCAGAGCCCAAGCACACTGCCTGGAAGAACAGAAGGACCTCCAAATGGCATGAGTGAAGTGGATTGCTGGATGCCCACAGGCTGAGAGAGGCAAAGGAAAGCCTAAAGACAGCGGGAGAAGTGGCACGATCTACTTTAGAAAGGCATGGAGAGAGTTCTGCTTCTTCCTCCCTGCTAAAAAACAAACCCCAAACCCACAAGACAGCATCCTGAAAGCAAGGGATGATTGTACCGAACTCTCTGTTTAGAAGGAACCAAGAGCATATCATGACTGCATCTGCATGATAAGCATGTGCTCTTTGCCCACAAACTCTCTTCTGCTTCTTTGATGCTGGCTGGTGCAGGTCCAGGAGCTTGAGTTAGGACATGCTGGAGCAAGCTGGACACGCTGAGCTCTGCACTCAAGGCTTCTGTGCCTGCATCAGACCTAGGCTGCAGAGAGCTTTAACTTGAAGGATGTTACAAATGGTGCTTATTTCACTGATCTAGCTGTTTTCAAATCCGAAATTAGACTTTTCTAGGGAGGGGGACAGAAAAGCTCTGAGACTTGCCCATGATCCGAGGGGAAAAATATCCAGAGAGAAGGCTTAGAATGACTAACTGTGAAACAATACAGTTGCTTCATGAGCATAAATCTTGTTCATTTAACAGGGATTTCACATTAATCACACAGACACACACTTCTACTATAAATGATCCAAAAACATTATAATGAAAATTTATTAATACCTAAAAATGGGTGTTTAGACCAGATATGCAAACCACTGCTTTAAGAAACTAAATGTAATAGACATTGAACACGGCTTTTCTTTCTCTTTCCCGTACCCCATCACTTTCTGTTCTCTAATGCCTCATTTATTTCTATCATTTCCAGCACTTGGGGACAATTTTAGTTTAGTTTGATTACATTCAGTCCCACGGTGGGGCTGTATAGAGATAAATATATCTGTAAGTCAGAAATATCGCAACTCCCAAGACTAATAATCACATTTCCTTGTCATGTTGCTCTTAGTCAGAAAGTAGTGTCTGAAAACTAAAGAAGTACTCTTAATAGATAGTTCTCTTCTAGGAACAGCATTTGTTGTTAGATCTTTGGTAACGTTTTGTGGGAAGGGATCTTTATCTTATATATCTCCTTCAAAGGTGAATAAGTAAGAATGAGCAAGTTGAAGAAAACTCAAGGTGAGACGTTTCTTTTTCAATAACGTTGAGTAGATAATGACAGCATATCGATACCTGTGTGTTTTTTGTGGGTTTTAAAAAATGTAAAGTATTACAACAGGCATTTGATTGCCAAAATATATCCAACTTCAATGCTTAGTGAATGTGGTTATAATATTTGCTAGAACCTAAGTGCCCCCTCGAATTGATCTCCTTCTGCATTTATTCATCTTTTCTTACTTCCTTCAACCTCTGACCGTCATTGGAAGAGTTGTTTATCCTTGCGATCAAAGTGATTACCTTCTATAGCCTTAGGATGCCTCTGTGACTTTTGCTCTATGAATAAGTTCCTCTCTGTTCTATGGACTCATTCTCTCTCTCATGGCTTATGCTCAAGCCTCTAAAAAAATGATGAAATCTCCTTTGGGTTCTAATATTAGAACAAAAACCTTCCTTTTACTTTGCATCTCTGTGTAGCTACTACCTAATCATCCCTCTGTTAGCAATCATTTCCTAAAGGTCAAATTCAACAATTAATTGTCAGTTCATACTGTACTTATGACAACAGTAGTTATAATAACAACCCCCCCAAATTTCAGAACCTTGACAGAATAATTTATTTCTTGTTCAATCATAGTCTGACATGGGTGTTTTTTAGGTGAGGATGTCCTTCCTCTGTGTGACAACTCAGGGACCCTCTCTTTTTCCTTTTCATTATCCTGTCATGAGTTAGGACCTTGGAGTCCTCTGCTTCCAGCTCTTAGAAATGGAATAAGAGGACAGAGGCGGCATACCCCTCTTTGAGTTGCCTTGGTACTCACATCCTATTGATTGAAACTAGTAAAATGGCACCACCAAAATACACATGAGGCTGGGGAATATATTCCGGGCTGGGTCAGTGGCAACTTTTTACTAAAGAAGGAGAAGCATAAATTTTCAAAGAAGTAGCTGTTGGCTATGATTTATTCTTGAAACTGTCTGCTCTTTTCCATAGTTTTACAGAACTCTTTCCTGCCTCTCCCTTCGCCTTTCTAACAATGCAACATCTTCTCTCTTCCTTCCTCTCATGTGTGACTGTGTGTCAGAGCATGATTTTCACCATTTTCTTCCCTCTCCACACAAGATTTTACAGATTCAACTAAAATCAACATACTAATTGCTCACAAATTTCTATCTCCAGCCAACTTCTCTTTGGAACTTCAAACTATGTGTTAAATATTTTGTAGACTCACCTACTGGAAAACTAATAGTCACCTTGAATTTGTTGTGTCTGAAGCTAAACTCTTTATCTCGTCTCTCTCTAATCTTCAAACTGAATCCTGCTTCTACATTAACTATGTGTTAACTAATACATGGTGACTGCAGTAACGTTGTCATATATTTATTCAACCAAAACAGAAATATGGGAGTCATCCTAAAATACCATTTTTCACAATTCTCTCCCTTCCTATGCCCCTCTTCCCATTAAAAATCAACCTCTAAATAGCATTATTTTAAAGTATTTTACAAACTATTTCATCCATTGTTTCAAGAGCCTTATTTTATATTAATAAAATGGTTATTTATTATATTCCTCTTGATGACACAAAAGCAGATGCATATATTGTGATGGTAAATTTTAGGTGTCGACTTGACTGGATCATGGAATTCCCATATAGATGGTCAAGCACTATATCTGGTGTCTCTCTAAGAGTATTTCTGGAAGAGATCAGCACTGATTCAGTAGACTGAGTGA